CCTGGAGGGGCGGGGTGGGGGGCTGGACGGCCGAGGCCAGAACGGGCCCCGGGCTGTGGGTGCGGACAGCGCAGTCCTTCGGACCGTCCGTGGCCCCACCTCGGGAAGGGCGTCGCTCCAGCTGCTTCCCACTTGGGGAAAACTGGGGCGGGGGCCCGGCGGAGAGATCTTGGGAGGTCTGGGGTGGCGAGAAGGGAGGAGGTTTGGGATCTGAACGCGAGCTGGAAGGAGCTGGTACTAGCCCCTCTCATCTGGGCACTGAGGCACCCCGTGGATGGATTATTCCTCCCCTTCTGAGAGTACCTCTGACTTCCGAGGGTCTTAGCCTCCAACTCACACCCACCCTCCAGGCTCCACTGCCCAGATCCCCGCTATCCCACCTCCTCTCCCATATCTGCCCACAGCTATCCTGAAGCCCCAGGAGTCCGTGGCTCAGCTTCTCACCACCGAAGGCAGCTTGAAGTCAGAAGGTGAGTAGTCAGCAGCTGTAGGAAGGTGTCCTGGGGCAAGAGGAGAGGCAAGTCAGTGGGGAGGCCTCTAAACTGGCTCACCTTATAGGTGGGTTAGAAGACCCCAGAAAAGGTGTATGTGGAAACTCTTGCCAGTCTGGGAATGGCTGTGCACATGGAAGGCATTAACATTTTCCTGAGCTGGGACTTTCTCCTTAGCCAGAAATGTCTTGTTTGGGAAACTTTCTGAGGCTCTCCTGGCAGTTCGTATGTTTAAAGACGGGGACAGTGACTCTTGGATGGAAATACCTGGACCAGAGGGCTTGGAGGGAGGGGTGTGGTGTGGTCAATGTGCAGTATTAGTGCCCACAGGGAAAACGGAGGAGGAGTACTATCAGAACATTTTACATTGCTGGAACAACTATAAGGGTCATATGGACTCTATCAAAGACGACTGGTGCAACTGGGCGGTGATTAGCAGGTAGGGGCAGTGCTGGAGGGTGGTTTGGGCCAGAGGTGGGGCGTGCTCCTTGTGGGTGGGCCTTGAGTAAATGTGGGGCACTCCTCTCTGTGAGCCCAATCCCTCACTCACCCTAGTCCTCTCCTGCCCCCAGTCCTTATAGCAAACTCCAGAATTGCTTGGAAGATAATGCAGAACAGTTTGGCCTGGGCTTTCCCAATCCCTTGGCGGAAGAAGTCATCTTTGAGACTCACCTGATCCACTTTGCCAACTGCTCCCTGCAGCCCACCTTCTCAGACCCCCCAGAGGATGTGCTCCTGGCCATGATCATAGCCCCCATCTGCCTCATCCCGTTCCTGGTCACCCTTGTGGTGTGGAAGAGTAAAGACAGCGAAGCCCAGACTAAGGCGGCATGAGTTTCTCAGCTACCTTACTCCTTTCCCCTGCTACCACCAGGTCTCTCTCTCTGTCTCTCTACCTTCTTCTCTCACTTTCACCCCACACAGAGCCTCAGATTGGTGGAGATGGAGCTGGATGGGCTCATGGCACAAGTTCTGTAATTTTCAAAATAAAAGTTTTTTCTTTTGTACACTGTCATTCTCCCCATCCCAGTGGGGCCTGTGTCCTTCCCAGAGTCTGTCATTTCCTCAGACCCTCAGCTCTGGGAAGCAAAGCTGGAAAAATCTGGATTGCCCCACTGTTTTGTTCACTTACCTGCTCACCACAGTCTTCTGCTAGCACTCCCCCCACCCCCACCTGAAGGCCACACTCCTACATTTCTTCCTCCCAAGGCGGGGCCTTTCCTGCCCCTATCCAAACCCCGCTCCGGGAAACGTGCAGGAAGAGACTCCCTTCCTGTCTGGACAGCTGTTGGGGAGGTGGGGGGGGAGGGGCGAGGGAGGACTCTGGGCTGTGACCCCTGCAAGAAGCAAGGGAGGCCACCCAGGAGCCCTGAGTTGTCCCCTTTCATGTCTCAGGTCACCCCTAGAGGCTGGGAATGGAAACCCTGATCTGACCAACTGGAGTCCACTACTGAGGGCAAAAGCAGTGGAGGTTCCCTCTGCTAGGCTCACCAAAGGACTCCCCCCTCCAGGTCTCTGGCCCTCGTCCTACATTGTCCTGGACCCCGGGGGAGTGGCCTACAGACTGGCTGCATACTGCCCCCTGGTGTCCACTAAACCACAAAGCAGAAGATGGATATGGGGTGGAAGCAGCTCAAAACAGGAGATTGGACCCTGAGGTCAGAGACCTGTCATCTCCATAGCAAACACTAGTTCTCAACGGGACCCTTCTATCAGCTTCCTGAGTCAGACTACGCTCCCTTAAGACACTTTCCCGCTGTCGACATAAGAACTGTCCAAACCTGCAGAGAATTTTTAAAAGCGTTTATTTGAGGGGGGTGGGCCCTGGTGGAGGTGTGCAAAAGGGAGAAAATGGGGGACATCTGTAATAGTGTCAATAATATAAAGTTTAAAAAAAGTTTATTTGAGCCAAAACTGATGGGATATGCCAGCAGCAAGCTCTCGAATGCTCTGAAGAATGACAGTTTTGCAGTTTCTCTTACACATTTGAAATTAGGGAGCTTAAGGAAGATTATGTGAAGGTGGCAGAAAGAAAGGTGAGGGTGTTATGTCTTAGAAGGAGGGGTTTGGAAAGAGGCATTTTCAAAGGTGTGCCAACCTGGACACACAGAAACAATGGACCTGGCTTGCTCAAGGCTAGAAATTCATACGCCTGGCATGTGACTACCCACCATGACCTGCCCAGGTAGGAATTTAGGATTTATTACAGCACCCCTTTTTCATCCACACCACTTTCTGGGGACATACCTAGTCTCTGACTCACCATTTGTGGCATATGTACTCTCCTGTAGGCCCCCTGGACAGTGAGGCTCAGTTCCCAGCAGGGAACCTTCACCTCCAATTCTCCTTGGGACAATCCTGCCAGGTCATCAAAAATACCTAGAGAATAACTTTGTTCTCCATAAAGACACTTGTTTATTCCCTGTGGCACCTAACGCCCCTTCAGGAACTTTCCTAGTTGAAATATCTGCCTCCCTGGGTATATGCATGTCCATTTCCTAGACATGCCTGTCTATTCCATAGATATATACTTGTATGTTTCCTAGAATGTATCTATTCATTCCTTGAGACACACTCTTCCTCTCAGGACTTACTTGTCTCTCCAGAGACACTTGTTCCCTGGGACATTTTGAGTTTCACCTGAGGTAAGTCTTTGCTGTGTCCATGAATGCGTATGTCTTCTTCAAGGATATAGCTATGTTTTTCTTGGCCCATATTTGCCTTCATGCATTTTACTAACGTACATCAAAGTCATGCTGGCTATAAAACACTGTCTATGGTATATTGTTTTGGAAAAATAAGTTAGATGAGACTTGGTTTCTGCCCTCAATGGCTTTTATCTAGTAAGGGAGCTGACATGTCCAAATTAGCAAAAACAATGGAGTGTGTGATGAGAATCATGCAAGGAATACAAACCACATGTTTGCATGAGTGCAAAGGAAGGAAGGGTCACATCTAGCAGACGTGTGATCACAGGAGGTCAGATCACAGAAGGGTGTTTGTGGAGCTGCTACATAAATTGATCTTAGATGGAGTCCATTCCCCTGGGGAGAGAGTAGAAAGGGAGATGAATTAGGAAGCTACTGTAACAATCCAGGCTTGAGAAAAGGAGGACATGGGCTGAAAGTGTGGTGAATGGGGAAATGAAAAATAATTTTAAAATAGTAGAGTTTTAAAATATATATATATCTTTATTGATTTCAGAGAGAGAAAAGGAGAGGGAGAGAAAGATAGAAACATCAATGATGAGAGAGTCATCATTGATCAGCTGCCTCCTGCAGGCCCCTGACTGGGGATCGAGCCCGCAGCACAGGCACGTGCCCTGACTGGGAATTGAAAACTCGACCTCCTGGATCCTAGGTTGATGCTCAACCTCTGAGCCATGCCCGGCTGGGCAGTAGTAGAGATTATTAAAAACAGGGGAAGGAGTCAGCAGAATTTGGATATGAAGCAGGTAACAGAGGAGAGACTAGAGCTGACTCAGGCTTTGAACCTGAGTTACTTGGACAACGATGGAAGTAATTATAGAAAAGGGCCATTAACAGGACGAGGTAGCCTGAAGAAAAGAATATGCAATATGAGGTAATGGAATAAGCTGTTACATCCCTCAGTGAGTCAGAAATGGGAGTGGCAGCTGTGGTGGAAAGAGGGTGGAGCTGGAAACGTAAGTTTAGGAGTATTCTGCACAGAAATGCCATGTAAAGCCATGATGCGAGGTCTAAGAGAGAAGGTGTATTGGAAAGAGGAAGACAGGTTAGGTTCTTAGGAAACACCCACATATGAAAAATGGGGGGG